CAACAACAGGAATCTGAGAGGAGTCCCAGTGAGGTTCCAATATTGATAGTGTATCAGAAGACAGAGGCCTCAAACCAGACTAATGACTCATTGCAATGAACATTTGCAAGTAAAGAAGTGTGGACAAAGGAGTATACTGAGGTACACCTGTGACACACTACAGTTTCCACAGCAAGATTTTTTTAATGTTTTGTTTTTGTTTTTAATGGTTTTTCCATTGGGGGCAGTTCGTAATGGCAGAGGGCAGATAAAAAGAAAAGGGAAGATGAGTGAGTTTGGGATACATGATGTGAAACTCATAAAGAATCAAGAAAAAGCTTAAAAATAGTTCAAGAGATGAGTATGAATGGGTGAATGAATAGGTGTAGGAATGGATAATTTGTAGAATGGATGTGAATGAATGAATATTGTCATGGAGAATAGAAGGCAGATATATGATCAAGCTTGTGTAATGGAAGAGCATTTCAGACAAAATCCTTCAGTCTGTTGACTAATTTTCTTTACAATTATTAAGATAATTCTGTAGAAAGAAGTTCTTTCTAGACCTTGTCTACACTCCATCATCCACAGTCCTTTCATATAATCTCCTTCATAAAAAGTCAGACTAGACACTTGTAACAACTCACAGTAGAGAAGAGCAGTCTTGTCCTCACCTATATTCCCTAATTGATGAAACCCTCTACCAACTGATAATTCCTATTTTGAAAGCACCTACTATACTCAAATGCCCCGATGATACACTAAAAAATGATTATTATTATTTAGAAATAATGATTATTATCTAAAAATGTCAGAATGGAATGAGACAGATATCAATAATTGGAAAATTCACCACTCAGAAACATGGCTTAAATACAAGAAAAAGCAACAGAACCAGAAAATCTGAATACAGGGGTCTTCCAAGAGACTCATACTCCAACCAAGCACCATGCATGGAGATAACCTAGAACCCCTGCACAGATGTAGCCCAATGCAGTTTAGTGTCCAAGTGGGTTCCATAGTAATGGGAAGAGGGACTGCCTCTGACATAATCTGATAGGTCTGTTCTTTGATCACCTTCCCCTGAGGGGGGAGCAGCCTTACCAGGCCACAGAAGATGACAATGCAGCCATTCCTGATGTGAGCTGATAGACTAAGATCAGAAGGAAGGAGAGGAGGACCTCCCCTATCAGTGGACTTGGGAGGGGCATGTGCGAAGAAGAGGGAGGGAGGGTGGGATCAGGAGGGAGGAGGGAGGGGCTTATGGGGGGATACAAAGTGAATAAACTGTAATTAATTAATTATAAATAAATAAATAAATAAATGTAAAGCTAAAAAAATACAAGAAAAAGAAGAAAACCAAGGGAATATTTGAAAAAAAATATTAATTGTAACCATAACATTGTTTATAAAAAGCAGAAAAAGAGTTGAGTCTAAAATCTGTACATGCAAAAATCTCACAAATATAGAAAAAAATTAAATTTAATGACTGAATCTTTCTGCTAAAATCTAGATAACTCTCAGAAATCTAAGCTCAGTGCTGGTAGAAATAAGAAAATAATAAGAGTCAGAATAAAGAAAACTGAAATGAATAATAACCACTAAAAAAATCGATAAAAAAATTTTAAAAGAGCAATCATTTCAAGAAGAACATCAGAAAAACCATTAGGAACAAAAATAGAAGATTCATCTAGTTCAGAAGGGAAAGATGCACATTATTATTTAAGGAAATAGGATATAAATCAATACAAAGGAAGATTATGAAGATACCTGCATGAAGTGGGCATATTCTGAGGGACATAGCTATTAATAAAATAGACTCGAAAACTGCTCAACACAAAAGCTCAGGACAGCATGACTTAATTAAGAATTCAATCAAATATATTTTGTGCTTTTTAAAAGAAGTTTTTAGTAGATATCCCAATAATGGATTCATAATATTCCTTTCACATATGTGCATTGTTGTACTTAGTTCATGTTGTACCTGGCCCTCTGTTGATATTCCACACACCTCCTGTGGGTGCTCCTTCCCGTCACCCGTACTTGATTTCATATCTATATGGACATATATACAAATCCATAATGTATATAATATACATACACGTGTATAGGTTCTGCATATGAAACGACAATATTTGTCTTTCTTTCCTTTGCTTTCCTTATGATCTGTGGTTACCGCTTTCTCTTTTTGTACAGAGCCTTTATTCCCTCACACAGTCCCATTTCTAACTTTATATTTGTGTACACTTATATATAACATATACTTTATGAATGATACTTAAATGTATATGTTTAAATTATGCATGATAGAAAACATGCAATCTTTTTCTTTCTGAGCCTTGCTAATTTTGTTCAATGACTTATTTTAAGTTAAATTCAGTGTCAATGTTTCTAAAAATAGTCATAAAATTGAGGATTTCAATTTTAAAAGCTACAAACATTTTCTGGTGTAAAGACTTCCTAAATAAATGGAGATATGCCAAAGGAAAAAAAAAATCTCTGAAGAAACTGATTAGGCAGAAATACTGCAGAATTCATTGTACAAAGCCATCATTACTCTGATATCAACCTAGAAAGCAACACCACAAGACAAATAGATGCAGAAACAAACAAGAAGAAATTGAATCCTAAGTATACTATTTCTAGAAATTTGAATTTATATGACTATCGTGAAAAATACTGTCAGATCATACAATAATCCAAAGACAAATTTACCATACCACACAACCATTCTACCACTAGGTATATATTTATATATTTTACTTATATATTTAATATACATATTAATTGAAAAAGTCATACAATTAGATACCTGTACATGTATAATCATGGGACTATTCATTAAATCCTAAAGGCAGAATCAACTCATGCACCCATGCTAAACAAAAAATTGAAACACGCACACACACACACACACACACACACACACACACACACACACACATACACAGCCCACAGATGTTTTCAGCCATAAAGAGGTAATTATAGGTTATAATAAGAGTATGCCATAAAAGTATGCAAAGTGAAATTCTGGGCACTGTATTAGTAAGAATTGGATTTAATGGATAGTATTTGTGGAAATGGGAGAGAGGTGGAAGTTAATATAGTTAAAATGTATTAAAAGTAACCACATTTTTTCTTTTACAGTGAATACACTTAAGTTAATTTTCCTTCAATAAGAATTCAATTATCTGAGTGCCATAAATTAATACCATTCCAACTCTGAGGTTTTGGGTTTTCATCCAGTGCTTTAAAAATATCTTCCCAAGTATTTCTAATTTTAAGCTTTAACCTGAAATCACTGACACAGGGGACAGAGTACAAAGGTCAGACTCTGATTATGAAGAAATACTGAACCGAACATGCTAAATGGTGTGTTAGATGGGGTAGCAAGAAGCCTTATCCTGTGGTGGCCACACTTTTCAGGAGAGAAATGTTCTAGCATGCTTTATAACTTGACCTTCTTTCTGGAATAGCATACTCTAACATGCACTTCCAAATAGCACATCTGGGGTCAGTCTTGGAACATAGCAAAGTTTTCATAGCTCCTACCACCTGCAATGGGTGATGAGTATGATCCTGATGTTAGAACCAGAAATTTAGCTAGGAAGGATATTCCAAATCATTTCAGCACTGCTATTTCACAAAATATGGTTAAATACAGACGTCCAGGATCTGCTGCTTACATTCTAAGTTGTTGTTGGTGTGTGTGTGTGTGTGTGTGTGTGTGTGTGTGTGTGTGTGAAATGCTGCCTGTAGCATTGGCTGAAAACCTAAAACCCTCTTCAGACTCACTTTGATTAGGCAAAATTTGTTTATATGGAAAACATGTAGACGAGATTCTAGACCATATAAGCACAGGATGCATAGGACACTGCCCTATGACAGGAGCTTTGAAAAGTAGTTCATGACACTTTCCAAAAGTCGCTCATGGGTAAGCATGTTATACATGGTCTGATTTTCAAAGAGCATCACAAATAACCCTATTGACTTCTTTTGTTCTCTCTCTCTCAAGGACTTGGAGAACTTCACTGCTAAATTTGGAGACTCTGGGCTTTATTTTTGTTTCTCATGGATCTTTACTGGACTCCTATCAGACCAAGAAGAGTATCAAGGAAATGAACAATGCCTTTGCACACCTCCCTCAAGGAGTGATTTGGAAGTTTAAAGCTTCTCATTGGCCCAAAGATGTCAAGTTGGCTGAAAATGTGAAAATTGTGGAGCGGCTCCCTCAGAATGATCTCCTGGGTAAGGGCTGCACGGATGTCTCCTCTCTTTCCATTCATATACACTTGGCGGTCACCTGGACCCAACTAACTACATGCGGATTTGAACTAACGCTAGAAGGAGCTGCTAGTGATAGCTATGGGCAAGTTCCCAAAGGACAAAGAAGATATGACCAGCTGGTGAGCTGGGAGAATAAGTCCATACTTTCAAATTTCATTTCATCTCATTTCACTTTTTCTTTCTTTCTTTCTTTCTTTCTTTCTTTCTTTCTTTCTTTCTTT